ATCTGTCTCATTAGTTTATATTTATAACGATACATTCCAGTCAACTGACCAACGTGAGCAAATACATACTGTAACCCATCAGCTAGCTAGAATAACAAATTCAAATCTCATTAGTATTCAGATTATTTAACATTAACTCTGATAATTGTAGACCACTATAACAATTTGAAATCTAAACATATCTACATACATAATAAGTTTCATCAAAATCAGTTGAAGTGCTTTATACCACAAGAAAGAAACTTCCTCTTGGATATTCTAGAGTGCTACACAGATGGATAAACCATTATATGTACACTAAATAGGATAGAATTTGACATCCTGTTTCTGGTGCATGGTTCATGTACTCTTTCAATAACTAGACACTTTGTCTACATCGATCCCTCATAGTATTTGCATCACTGACAGAGGAAATGACCAGGAATAAAGCCTACCCTTCTTTCTCACTAAACCACTCAAGCTTTTAAAGCATTTTGGTGTTGATATTTTAAGAGAAGTGGGTGTATAAAATGGTCTGTCATAAAAACCCTGGGGTAACGTACCTGATAAGCATCCACATTGCCGAGTCTGTACTGTACATGTCCATCTATTACCAATTTGGTCAGTCTTAATATCTCTCTACACAGATGGAAGGCGTTACCAAATCTTGACTTCTTTCTTTCCTACAATATAATGAATGGAGTTTTACACCCAACTGTCCAATCCATTACTTAAGAAACATTTAGGGGTAGAGATCACATTAAATAACGGAACAGAATTTAATCTCAATCCTGAGTTTTATTATGTACAACGTTTCTACAATTTATATTGTCAGCATCATTATTTTCTATCTCTCATTTCAACTGATACTGACAACATAAATTGTTGAAACGTTGTATATAATAAAACTCAGGAGAAATAAACCATACAATTGTGTTGCGTTATTTAAATAAATTATGGAAACAACGATAATTGGCTAACAGACACAGAAATTTGAGAAGAGTAAAAATCAATGATCTTACCTTAGTGGTCAATGTTTTAACAGGTTTTAAGTTAAAGTTATAATCTAGATGAAGATAATTCAGATTCTTACGATGAATCAACAGATTCAACATATTATATCCTTGGCGACAAACTTGTAACCCAACCTCAACCCAATCTAACTGAGTTGTCTGGAAAAACTTGGTAGCCTTGAACGATCGGAATAAATATCTGAAATAAAAACAGAATCATTATCTGATGAATGAGGACAGGCAATGTCATGTAGTGTGCAATGAGGGATACTTCTACTCATCGGGGTCCAATTCTTAACATTAACATGAGAATTTTATCTTTAGGTAGTTTTAAGCAAAAATCAATATAAGCCTGTATAGTTTTTAATACTATTTATTCTACAAATAAGAAGAACTGTATGTTTTGAATTTGGCCGCGATGAACACCAAATATTTTTGCTCAACTATAAAAGTTAAGAAATACTAACCTTTTCTTCTGGGCTTTAGGAGGTTTATGTTTTAAGGCGTTTATAACAAAATATTTCAACAATTTCTGATAGGAAACTCGAACTTTCACTGGCATACCAGCTGGACAATGTTCACGATACCTATGGAGAAAAGATATTGCTTTGTTTAAGGGGTATACTTAATATTACACTCAATATAGCAATGTAGAGCAATATGTCTAGTCGACTTTAATGGTGAACAAGACCATCGTTCTTCAATTTCTTCCTTTCTTCTTTACCAACACCATGACAACGTAGCA